ATATATATATATATTTGTGTTGCCAAAGAAGTGCAAAATAACACAATAAAGCGAAATCTCATCCCTCGCAGGTTATTACATTAAATAACACATTCAATATTTAGCTTCGGAGACGAAGCAGCAAGTAAATAAATATATAAAATATATAAAAATGAAAACATACGCTCCCGGAAGGTTACCTGGCAACGCGCACACGGCGTAATTAATATTCATGAGTAAAGCGCTTCCCATAGTAGAATCCGTAATTTAGCGTGTCGCATCACGAGTCCGTCCATACGAGTCCCGAAGCGGCAGAAGAGGCATGATTTTCCAAGCGTTGGCTGCTCTTTTACCGCTTATAAACAGACACACGCAAGACTAGCGAAAACACGACCAGATTTAAACGTTTTTTTTCTTCATTTTCAAACGCATTTTGTTCATTTCCTGCTATATAAACTTCTCTATTAGCTTTAGCCAGGTAGCTTGCATCTGGAAATTGGACAAGTATGATCAGCCTGGCGGTGGATTAATCGGCCTATTTTAACAGAAGATTCATTTTTCTCATGTGAAACCGCGATGTCACATAGTGTAGTAAAGATTGCTTGTTGTTTGTGTTGTTCCAAAGGCGCTGTCTGAAGTTGATGTACGTTAGGTTTGTAAAGCTGAACAAAATCCAGGAAAACTGGAGATCACAGCCAGGAAATCTCTTCAGGAGAGAAGACTAAAGCCTTTTCTGCCTTCAAACTCATCAGTTTAGACCAAATCAAGACCGAACAAAGAGGACATCCATCCAAAGCCTTTTCATTTCATCTACAGAAAGAGAATAAAGCACACACACAAAAAAACTAAACAAAACAAAACAGGCTGATATGATGTTTCCACAAGCCAGGCACTCGGTAAGTGTCTCATTCTCCTTCATTCATGCTGATTGTCACACAGCAGGTGATGTGGGCATACAATCACTTGCAGATTGGTGTATTTTACAGAGCATACCAACACAAAAGTACCATTCTATTTATATCTATAATGTTTTGTGAACACGAACCCTGATAATACCATGTTTTTCTTACAAGCACCATGGGAATACTATGTTTTTGGAAATGGTACAGTGGTAAAACTATGTTTTTTGACATGTGCCATGGCAATACCTTTGTTTTTAGATGTATCCCCTTACAAAAATGTACTTTGGCAGTACCATTGTACAGTGATTGTATCAGATGGTACTTTGCTATTTACCTGTTTATATATGAAATTCAAGCTTTTTGTTGTGTTCTTTGAAATATGCTGGCGTTACATGTAAATACCATGATTTTTGAATATGCTAATGATTCAGTATCATGGTATTACCATTAGTACACTGTAAAAAATGACCGTGAATTTAACGGTAAAAGAC